TCATTTTTTCGTAGATATGTGTGTGTGTGTGTGTGACTGTACATGTGTGTGTGTGTGTGACTGTACATGTGTGTGTGTGTGTGTGTGTGTGACTGTACGTGTGTGTGTGTATAAGCGACCACAGCCCAGGTTTATATCCACGACCTCCTTGTCGGCCTTGTTGTTTTTTTTCCAGCTCGTCTCTGTGTCTTTTCTCCAAGACGACATGAAATATTTAAAGTCCAGTGAAAATTGATCTGCTCAACTGAAGTCTGTTTCTCTCCCTCCCCCTTCACCCCCCCCCTCCTCCTCCTGACCCCCCCCCGCCCTCCTCCCTCCAGATCAATGGACTCCTGCCCCAGGACACAGTGGATCACACCCACGTACTGATTCTACACCGTCCCATTGGCTATGGCGTGGACGTCCTGACCACTGCCGCGGCTTCATGCTAATTAACCAAGGTAAACTCAACTCAAAAAGGCTTTTTGTTTTTCATCGTGGTGAATGTTTTCGATTAATGGTCGGCGATTTCACGAAGCGCTGCTATCAAGCAATGAAAACACAGTCGATTCTGTTCATTTAAAAGTTTAAGACGCTCCAAAATGTTGTCTCTGAGAAAAAGGGACACAGAAAATATCACCTTCTCTGATGACAGGATTATCTTCAAGTGATTCTTCAGAAGATACAACCTGGTTTTAGGCCAATATTCAAAGGTTCATGTCCAATATTCAGATTTTGTCATGAGAAATATTTAACTTTTTTTCCTTTATTTTTTCTCTGGTGCCATATTTCCATTTTTCATATGCAGTATTTTCTGTCTCGTAAAAGTTTATAATCTGCTCCTTTAATACGGGAATCAACGTTATTGATGGGAGACTTTAACAGATACTGTCTGTTGCTCTAGATTTCCTGCTCTTTTCCATTTCAACCAGTTTGAATTTGAATCTTAAGGATAAAAAAATCATGTCAGTTTGGGTCTAAAAAGAATTGTGCTTTGACCAAACGGTGTCTGTGAATTTTTTTCAAGAGAGCAAAAATAATCAGACCAGCGAACAATATTGTCAGAAATATCCAGAAAGTCCCTCTAAACTTTGTGACTAAATCAAGCAGGGCAGAAACTCAGACCAGCGAACAATATTGTCAGAAACATCCAGAAAGTCCCTATAAACTCTGTGACTAAATCAAGCAGGGCAGAAACTGCTGCTAAATGTGCATGACCTTTGGCCCCTCGAGGAGGAGGTGCATCAGAAACCACTGACAGTCACGCTGCTGTAGCTCAGGACTTCACTTTACACCAACTTTGTACCATATAGCAGCATTGTTTCCCAAAGACTGGGTCGCGACCCTCGGGTGGGTCGCAAGAAATGTTTGTTTTTTTTTGGGTCGTCTCGCATCATGTTTCCCAGG